CCCGAGAGGTATGAGTCAGTGTTTCATGGCTGTTAACTAGTGGAAGGGCGTAATCCAATTTTCACCCATTTGTCGCTACTGGAGGGCTTCGAAGGCATGAACCCGCAGCACAATATTGGGAACAGTGGGTCGACGATCTGTCCGCGACTTGCCACGAGAAGCCTCGGCGCACTGTGGTCTCCATCGGGACAGTTACATGACGCCTGCGCACTCCGAGCGACTATAAGTGGCTTACGCTGCACCACCCGCAGCTTCATCCACACACTCCGAATGCAGTTTAAATCCGAAGGAATAAGACCAGGAGAATGTGGATCGGAGCCACGTTTCATCAACGGAGCCGGCCCACAATGCTTCATCATGCACAGCTACATTCATGTGTATTTGTGAATCGTGCATACCAGACGTACACACGGTGGTGCTTGGGCCGCAGCCCGTAGCACCATCACGAGGACCCTGCAACTCGTCCCCTCCAATAGCGACGATCTGTGTCCTGGAGCTAATATCGACCTTATGGTGGGTAATAGACGGGTAGGCACACGTACAAACCATCTACAACGGCGATGCGGCACACGTACTACATCAACCGCCTTATTGACCTTCGTTAGTATATCGAATGGAAGCGGACGCAGCACACCTAACAATCTCTGTGCTGATTATGCTTAACTACTGAGTTGACTTGTATATTTTTTGTGCTGGCCCTACGTGGCAACGCTGGTGGCTTACCAGATCTGCTTGGCTTAGGCACTGGCGACCTCGTGTACTACAGCACCACGCGCTCGATGTCATTGGCGTAGAATCCATCGGCGCCGTTCGCTTTCGCACTCGGCGTTTCTCTTCCGTGTGTAGTAATACCTTCTCCTACACCTGGCAACCACCGCCTTGGATAGCTCACGCCATTCGCGCCGATCAACTGCCTTCGATTCCCAACACCTGAAATCAGCATTAGCTCGTGATAAACTCATCTTATTCATGCGGAGCCTATTTCTGTTGTAGGCTGTTAGAGACAAAGGGTCTTACTCGTATTTTTGGTGTGCACGAATTTGATCATCGTAAAAGCGGTAACCGAATTCATGTGCTGCAACTCATTGTGCTGTGCGAAAACAACGCACATTCGTTCACAAACAGCAACCTATGGATGGCTATCTCTCACACTGGGGTTCTCGCCCCGATAGACTGGATGTTCAGCAGCCCACCATCAATGCCGTACTCCACACAGACACAGTCATCACAAGCATCATCAAACGCGCAAGACATCGTTGCATGAAGGTAAATATTAACAAGGGCAGGGCCTAAGACACATCAGCAAAGTCATCCGAGGTTTGGCACAGAGCCGAACCGCCTCCCTGGTACATTCTCCAAGCATTCAATCGAGCATACAGATTTACGCGGGCAACCAAAGTTATCGAACACCTGCCACAGTGCCTCGCGGTTCACCGTGTCAAATGCTTTAATGAAGTCTGTGGACGGTTAGTTCAATACCTGGTGTCTCTTTTCGTTTCTGTTGCAGCTGACGAGCAGCGAATACCACACCTATTCTGCTGCGGCCCGATCGGAATCCGCATTACTCTTCCGCTACGTTCGGTTCCACAACTTGAGTGACGAGGCGGTTGTGCAGACTTCGGGCGATGATCTTTCCCACACAACTCAGCAAGTTGGCGCCACGATAATTCGTGCAACCTCACTTGCTCTCTTTGCCCTTGTACATTGGTAGCACTACGTTATGCTTCAGCTCAGCGCTATGGACCTGGCGTCAGTTGTTTTGTGAGAACTGGTATTCCGTTCTGCCACCCTGTTCCACCATACTGTTTGACGATTAACCTGCATTGTTCGCACATGCTATTTTGCAGAAGGTGAGTAAAGCTACGTGCCTTAGCTTCCTGATTTGTACTCCGTTGGTTCACTATGATTTGGCATCAATGTCCTGGAGGCGGCTCGGCTGTTACGAGTGCAGTCTGCGTCACCCCATGGGGGTTGTATGTCAGACGTGAGCCCTGCGCAATGCGTGCAAGTTTTGCTGATCTATGCATGCTTCTCAACAGATCCCTCCTCCGTTGTGTCCCATCAGGAGCTGCATGCCAGTCCGTGGTGCTCGATTTCACTTTCGGCCTGTTTGGCATAGCCCCATCGTGGCCTCGCTGATGACTGGGTAGACAGGCTGGGCAGAGTTACACACGGTCACATGGTATACAGCTCCAGTTAGAAGTACCGCGCGAACTTTAGTCCGCTGGCAGCTGGCTCTTGCGTGGCGCACCTCCTCGTTCCTGATGCACCAGCTGTCTTTCGTGCGCTTTGGCAAAGGTCCGCATGATGAGATCACGACAGCATAGGGATTCCTTACCACCTGCTTCTAGCTCCTTAGGTCAATTTTACTCGGGACAAATTATCCTTTATATTGTATTTTTTGGCACATTGCTTGCTGCCCTTTCCCTTGTAAAGTAGAAGTTCAGGGGTATTCTTCAACTCTGCATGCAATTGCTCTTCTCTCCATTATACGCTGGATGATCCGCCGTTTCTCAGTACTTCTGGCGGTATGCCATCAGCACCTACGGATTTCCCATTCCCCAGTTGAGCAAGCGACCTCTGTGTTTTTTGCGGTCCCACAGTTTGCTCATGTTCGGATAGTACACCGCGGTGCTACCGCCCCCTTGTCAACCATACGCTTTAGAGCTGACGTTGCTTTCCAGTTAGCTGTCTGAGAATCTTTTGTTATTGTCCTGCTCGGTTGCAACGAACGCTGCGTTTTTCTCTTGTACGAATATCCCAGTCGTCTACTCTCCCCTTCGTATCAATCAGACCGCTTACAGTTAGTGCGCCTGATCGACTGCTCCGCAGCATGGGTCACCTGTTTCTTCATTTGGTCCAATAGGACGGTGACCGAAGTCAAGGAGTCGACATCGGCAAGGCGAGTCATCATGGCATCCTCCAACGCTCGTCGCGTTTCTGCACTGGTAAAATCGCGTACGTTGTACTTCTGCCGATTGGTACTCGATGAAAAGCACGACAATCTGCATTCCTTTATGTAGAACTTGGTGCGCACCAGCTTGCGATGGTTTCCACATTCTGCTCACATATAACCCGTGTCATACACACTTCAAACATTTCCTCTCGCCGTACGATGACGCAGTCCAGCGATTGAGCATGACCACTCCGGGAGTACGTCCGTGTAGCAATGTCACTGGCACACAGAGTGGACTGGGTTCGTGTGTGGCTGGCCGGAGATATTGTGGTGCAGCGCAAGCCACACATGGTCCCTCTGTGGCGCAGGTGTTCCGTGACTGTCCCATGGGATTGCAGTACCTGCTAACTGCGGAACCTTGTGCATCCAATAATTTACTTCCTAAGTCGAAGCATATACCACATCCACATTCCCTGGACTAGATGAAACCCGGCCTTTTTTGCCCTGCTGCTGTTGTGTCGGAATTGGTTGTACAACGTTTTCTCTGTTTCGACCAATAATTTAACACCGGTCTGGTGCCGTCGTCGCGCTTCAAATGAACGCACTACCAAAAGTGCAAGTAAGGCATGCACAGCACGGTATCCGCCTGCTTTGAATGTCAAAACTTTTCCGCGTGTCGCCATATCTGAAAGTGTAAATTTTGTCCGATCCATCCATCCAATGTCCGCTTCACATAGAATGCCACGATCTTGAAGCGTGTTGTCCGGCTACGTGGATCATCTACTGTAATTTGCGATTTGGGAATGTTTACTTGGTGAGGGGTCGATAATTTTTATCCCGGGTGCTTTATGACTTGTGCTGACGCAGAGTTGATGAATACTAGAGGTGATCAGACCATTCTCATTGCTTACCGTTGAGTTGTCTTTCTCGAGTCACTAATTTTTGTGCTTACGCTTAAGTGCTGAGAACTTGACCTAGTTGATGCATGTGCCTATGTGTATACCACAAATCACTTTGTGTTTAGCGGTAAACCGCAATACACAAACTGAATGCTGTCGTAACCTTTTAGCGTTGAACTCCATTGGAGATATAACCATCACTTCTAGAGTGAGCTTCTCGGTGAGTCCCCACTTCAGAAGAATGTAATTGGAATATTCGATCGAAATGGAACATGAGAACAAGATAGGCACCCGAATGCGTGTCGCACTCACTGCGCAATTGCTCTCACCAGGCATATTCGTACGCCGTGCGCGACTGCTGCGATCGAATTGCCAACTGAATTTTGATGTTCTTTTACATTGTGCTATTTGAATGTTGTACACGTAACCCCACACATTACTCAGATGCGCTTGTTTTTGCCGATACATACCTGGCCCTCATCTACCTCTCTCGTTTTCCGAACTGCTCACACACTGTGAGCCATTGTTTTACATTTCGAATCCTCGAATTGGGCCGCCATCATTACGTGTTGATTATGCGGCACATACTTTAACACAACATCCTCTATTCTGCACTGGATTTTCCCGTATGGTTCTCCGGTAAATAATGAGTTCCTTTTTCCTTGTTCAGAACAACGCCCCTATTCATGTGAATACTGTAAACAATCGTTTACCGAGAAGAGCAATATGCGAAAACATGTCAGGACCGTTCATTTGAGTGAGTGCATAATTTGATTTTGTGGCTTGCGTTGTAGCATCGCTGACTAATTTGCTTGGCTTCGGTGCTATCTACGCTGTTGTCGGTGTCGGCTTCATTTGTTGTTGTCTCTACATCATCCAGTGACATCTTTATTCGCATAAAGTTTATTTTTCATTCCCAACTCGATGGTGCGCGGAAGAATGCGTTAGATGATTCCACTCTGAATGTACTGGTTTCTGGTGGGTCAGTTTTCGTATTTGTCTAGGTTCGCTTTGCGGTTAATCGCGATCTGGGTTGAGCTTGCATGTCCAGTCACGACGGGTACTCTCTGTAAGCGACAAAACGCTTAGAGGATAGTTGGACGACGCGTTGCCAACCAAACTGCGGCCTCCGAGATCGATTCAACAAGCGACCAAAGAACCGGAACTGAGGCAACCCCACCGGTAACAGCAAAAAAGGCCACAGTCGTTGAACTACGGTGTTCTATGTTACAAGAATAAAATAACAAATGTACAACATACCAACGGTATCCTCACAAACTGGGTACACAATGAACGATCACGACAACGGGCAACCAGTTGCTGGTTCAATCACAGTGCGACTAAAGCCCAACACACTGGAGGTATACTAGCCTCGGCCGGGACGAATCAGGGCGCATGCAGTCTATAACCAATCACAAAGGGGTTAGAATCAGTCTAGGGGGAAAGCATTGAAGCTGTGAATCCAGACATGGTTTGTCCCAGAGCTAGGACAGACATTGGGGAGAACGAAGTGAGTCAGTCGGAATTGAACAGAGTGAGAGGGTCGATGCGCAAATTAGACGTCTAGGTGCGAGGTGAACAAAAGGTAATCAATAGGGTAGACGACAAATCATGGGCGGATTGATGTGAAGGAGCAATAGTCAGGTTAACAAAGAACACACATGAGTAGCTGTCAGGTGTAAAAAGTAACCGATTTCGAATGTGATTGTAAAAAGAAGCAGGGACATGGGGAAAATTGGATGGGGAATTGCTCCAGGGGTGTAGCGATGGCACTTGAGCAAATTGTCCTTTACACTCCCCCGCGAAAATCTGACCAGGATTTTCAAATTGTTGAGGGCATGTTCTAGCCTGGATCGCCTATCCCCCCGCTCCATCCACGCTGGGAGGATACAGGACTTACACCGGTACGCCTGCACCTCCCACTTCAGCTACTGGACTCACAGCGGTCCTCCCTGGAGCGGCAGATTCGAAAATCCGCCTCCCGCCTGCGGAGAGCCAGTAGCCGGAACTACGCCCCCTTCTAGTCGACTACCTTCTAACAAACAAACCTTTCGCACATCCCTCTTCAATAAACCATCCTTCGTCCTGACGTTCACTGTTCTTACGAGACCATCTTGGGACGTGACACAGCTTTCAACTACTCCCAAAGGCCACATGTTGCGCGAAACAGTTTCGGAAACAACTAAAACCACATCCCCGGGTTTGAAATTCCGACACGGATTTAGCCATTTCTCTCTACAATTCAAAAGAGGTAGATACTCTCTAACCCATCTCTTCCAGAACAAGGCCGTGAGATAATTTACTTGCCGCCAACAACGTCTATATTCATCAGCTACAGACTCAGACAATAAACCCGATGGATTTGGTCGCAGTATCAACAAATCATTCGGAGTTAGGGCCGGTCGGTCGGTTGAGTCAGAAGTAAGAGGGACCAATGGTCTGCTATTAATAATACGCTCGGCTTCAGTAATCAAGGTAACCAACGCTTCCTCAGTCAAAGCCTGTTGTGTCGCAACCGACAGCAGTATTCTTCTTACCGATCGCACAATGCGTTCCCATATTCCACCTCTATGACTAGCCGCTGGCGGGTTAAAATTCCATTGCACACCGAATAATAGCAACTTGTCATTGATTTGTTTTTCTGACCACCCCTTCATGGCAGCCCGCAATTCTGCAACTGCTCCCACAAAATTTCCTCCATTATCACTAAATATTTCTGCTGGAGTTCCTCTGCGGGCAATGAATCTCATCAACGCCATTATAAAAGAGTCAGTGTTCAAAGTGTAAGACATCTCAATATGTACGGCCCTCGTCTGCAAGCACGTGAATAGACAGCCATATCTCTTTTCTTGTTTCCTCCCGTGCTTGACAATAAACGGTCCAAAGTAATCAACACCAACAAATCTGAAGGGGTACCATCCCTTTTCAATCCGAACTAAAGGCAATGGTGCCATCATCTGCTGACCGGCCGTGGCAAGCCGTCTTCTACATATCCAACAACTTCCTATTACTCTCTTTACGGCAGATAATCCCCTAACAATCCAGTATTTTCGGCGTAAACTCGTCAAAACTTGTGAGGCGCCTGAGTGACCTTCAAGAATATGATAAAATCTTATCAGCAACGCAGTGACCGCATGCTTTGGAGGTATAATAACAGGGAACTTAAAGGAACTGTCGTAATCCGAGTATGCTAGTCTTCCTCCCAGACACAGTATTCCATCTCGCAAGATGGGGCAGAGCCGCGACAGACTCCCTTGCCGTGCCTTTCTTTTAGGTGGCATTATTCCTTCCTTCGTCTCTTCCATTCGTTTTATTTCATCACCGTAAACTTCATTCTGTGCCAATCTAATGACATCAAATTCTGCCCCTTTGAGTTCGTGGAGAGTAATCAAACTGGTATACTGTGGGCCGATATCAGAATCATATGCGCGAGCCTTCAGGTACCTTTTGAATCGGGTTAGCCACACAACTGACTTCAACAACTTGAACCAATCGGAATATCTTCGGATTAAGATTGACAAGGATGATTGGCATGCCACCATGTTCACCTGGACCTTCACACGCTTTAATTCTATGTCACGCGGTTCGGAATTCAAACACTTATCTGGCCATTCGTCGTTATCGCTCAGTAAGAAATCTGGCCCATAGAACCAGCTCTCCAAACGTGCAGAAGAATAGCTACCTCTTGAGAGTATATCAGCTGGGTTACTACCAGACATGACATGCTTCCATTGACTAGGGTCCGTCAAATCATGAATTACCGATAATCGATTTGAAACAAAGGTACTGAATCGCTTCGATGTATCATTAATGTAGTACAAGACTGTTGTGGAATCCGTCCAGAACCAGACGTTCTCAAATTCCAGCTGGGCTCTCTCGGTCACATCCTCAAATACACGCGTGGCGAGCACAGCCGCAGTTAATTCTAACCGCGGAATAGAGACAGTCTTCAAAGGAGCCACTCTTGACTTCGAGTACAACAAAGCGCAGCGTCTGTTGCCCTTAAGGCGGAACCTGGCGTAAGCCACCGCCCCGTATCCCGTTTCAGAAGCATCGCAAAATATATGCAATTGTGGAGGTCCTAAACTCTCAGTGCCATTACGAATGCAACGGGGAATTTTCAGGAAACCCAACGCCTTGGTCATTCTTATCCAGGTATGCCAGGCCGCCTCGCTATCACCGGTAATCAACTCGTCCCAGCCTACCTTATCTCGACACAACTGTTGCAGCAATAGCTTCACCGGCATGATCAGTGGGGCTATCATACCCAAAGGATCGAAGATAGATGACACAACGGACAAGATTCTTCTCCTCGTGTTTGGACCTTCGGATACCGCAAAGTGGAAAAGAAACACATCCTGCTTGGAATCCCAAGACAACCCCAACGTCCTGCTAACTAACCCCGGTAACTCAGCTATTGGCTTTACTGTCTCCGCAATTTCGGCAGATGGGACCACCTCATAAACCTCGTCGATATTGCAGACCCATTTGCATAGTTTGAAGCCGCCTCTGCTCAACATCTCTCTGATCTGCGTTACAAACGAGCGCGCTTCCGCAGGAGTAGAGAGTGAAATCAAAAGATCATCAACATAAAAATCACGACACACAGCAGCCGAGACGTTCTCACTGTATTGGTGTCCCCACGCTTTGGCAGTCTGACGCAGGGCAAAGTTGGCACAGAATGGTGAGGAAGTCGCTCCGAATGGATGCGCAGTCATCTGGTACTCCACCACCTCCGAACCAATCACGTTGTTCTTCCACCATAGAAACCGCAGTGCAGCTCTATCTTTCGCTGGCACTTTTACTTGCATGAACATGTCCTCGATATCTGCGGAAATAGCCACCCTTTCAGACCTGAATCTCATCAGTATACCAGTGAGGTTAGCAGTAGTGTCCGGCCCTTGCAACAATTGGTCATTGAGTGACAACCCTTTGTGCTTGGCTGCACAATCGAAGACCACTCTTAATTTTTCTGGTTTCTTCGGATTAATAACGGCATGATGCGGTAAATACCATCTCGGTGTGTAGCTAGGTTGTAATTGCTCACTTGGTACTAGCGCGGCGTAGCCCTTTGCAATGCTCGTCTCCAACGCAGCCGTGTACCTTTCACACATTGTCGGGTCGTTTACCAGTCGTCGACTCAAACAATGTAATCTATGGAGAGCAGACACGAAGTTATTAGGAACTATCATCTGACGCTTTCTCCACGGGAGGGCCACCTCGAAGTGCCCCTCAACGAGCCTCACGGAATTCTCAGCGATTTCTAATGCTGCCTTATCTTCCATCGAAAGGGAACGGTGACTCGAACCAGCACTCTCAAATCCACCGTCGTATAACATTTTAAGCTGTGTCTCGATCGAAGTTGTCTCCTCTTGCACACAATGCACCGAAACGCAACCCTCAGGGCTCGTGTTCACGGGCCCCAGCAATATCCACCCTAGGGGTGTTCTAGCAGCGAACGGGCGCTTCCGACCACAAGCACGGCGTTCAAGCTGCCAATGTGCCTCTGGTACATCGGCTCCTATCAATATCCGAACTCGGGTATCAGTCAGAGCATCGAACTGGATGTCAGACAAGTGCGGCCAGTGACGCCCCAACTGGCCGTTAGTGCATGCAACTGGACGTAGTGGCAATCGCTTCAAACAATAAGCGCGTTCAACTGTAACATACTCGGGGCCCCTCAAGGCAGACAAGCGAAACTTGGCTAGGCCAGCTTCCAAGGAGGTGAGGCCACTCACGGTCTGCATGGTTAAAGAAGTGCGGCTAACCTTTACGCCTGCCTCCCTTAGAAGATCCTCTTGAACTAGGGTCACATCCGATCCACTATCCAACAAGGCATACGTTTCAATAGACCGTACTGGACCATCCAAACGTACGGGCACAACGCCCAAAGAAACTCTGCCTGGAGCAGTAGAGGTAACATTACAGCTGCTATATTCATTGCGTGAAGGATTAGGGGCTTTGTCATGATGCAACAACGAGTGATGCCGACCGTTACAAGTAGACACGTTGCATCCCTTCCGGTTTCGACAAGTTGCGGAGCGGTGACCGGACCCTAGACAGTTGTAACAAGCAGCCTTAGCTCTGATCAGTTCCCAGCGGCCTGGAACATCCATGGCTAGAAATTTCGTGCAAGACTCCACATCATGTTCGCCGTCACAAATAATGCAAGTAACTCTGTTGGTCCTCTTTGATGTAGTGCAGAAACAAAGGTTGCGACCCTTTCCTTTATCGGCTAATCGAGGTGGATGCATAGCAAGCTGACTTCGTGCCACATTGGCATTCGCTATCTGGCCAAATCTGCTACGTGCAACCCTAGCCTCCGTTGCAACAAAAGCTGCCAAATCACAAAATCTGACTTCCCGCTTTTCCTGAACGATAGAATCAGCCACTCTCGCCCATCGAGATTGCAGAGCGCTAGGTAAGAAGCGAACTATCCTCTCAATAGTGGCTATGGAATCTAGGTCGGCCATATAGTTCATCTGAGACAGTGCCACATAACAGCTCTCCATTTTCAACGACAATCGGGATAAAGCTTCGGAGTCATCAGCCATGGGTTTCAAACCTGCAAGCAAACCGTCGATCAGTGACCGTGCCACTACATGATTTTGCCCAAAGAGATCACGAAGAATGCAACGAGCTCTATTGTAAGCCTGCTCAGGCGGAAGCATTGTACACTCACGAATCGCTTCGTTGGCGCGCCCTCTGCAATAATACACAAGATATAACAAGCGCTGACCATTATCAATCACGCGGTTCTCAACAAAATATTCAAACTGCTTGATAAATCTCCAGTAGCTCGATGGGTCACCGTCAAAATATTCTAACTCCACCTTCGGAAGCTCTGCGAAAGGATAACAAACTGCCAGAGAAGATTGGGGACATGACACAGGATTTACTGTATGAGGCGCCATCTCTTGACAGTCCTTTAGGAACCGGCTCATCTGCTCTTCCCCACCTTTGGGCACATGACTTACAGTAGGGAGATGTTCCTGAGTAACTACCTCCTCCTCCATTTCCAAACGCAACTTAGCTAATTCTAGCTCAGTATCGGCTTGTCTTTTCTTAAGCTCAGCAAGTTTTAAAGCATTACGCGCATTAACGGAAACCTGTACATGACTACCATTACGACTAGAGTGCGATCCAGGACAAGAAACATGATCATCAACAACAGGTAAATCACCAACTTGCCGTGATCCGCTCGATGTCTCCTCGCAATGCATGGACGCCATTCTTCTGGTTTTCATTATGCAATTAAAAGAGGATGTCTTCCAGCCGTAACTCGAGGAACACTTGGTCCGAATTCAGGAGACGTTGAACACTGTAAGCGACAAAACGCTTAGAGGATAGTTGGACGACGCGTTGCCAACCAAACCGCGGCCTCCGAGATCGATTCAACAAGCGACCAAAGAACCGGAACTGAGGCAACCCCACCGGTAACAGCAAAAAAGGCCACAGTCGTTGAACTACGGTGTTCTATGTTACAAGAATAAAATAACAAATGTACAACATACCAACGGTATCCTCACAAACTGGGTACACAATGAACGATCACGACAACGGGCAACCAGTTGCTGGCTCAATCACAGTGCGACTAAAGCCCCAACACACTGGAGGTATACTCGCCTCGGCCGGGACGAATCAGGGCGCATGCAGTCTATAACCAATCACAAAGGGGTTAGAATCAGTCTAGGGGGAAAGCATTGAAGCTGTGAATCCAGACATGGTTTGTCCCAGAGCTAGGACAGACATTGGGGAGAACGAAGTGAGTCAGTCGGAATTGAACAGAGTGAGAGGGTCGATGCGCAAATTAGACGTCTAGGTGCGAGGTGAACAAAAAGTAATCAATAGGGTAGACGACAAATCATGGGCGGATTGATGTGAAGGAGCAATAGTCAGGTTAACAAAGAACACACATGAGTAGCTGTCAGGTGTGAAAAGTAACCGATTTCGAATGTGATTGTAAAAAGAAGCAGGGACATGGGGAAAATTGGATGGGGAATTGCTCCAGGGGTGTAGCGATGGCACTTGAGCAAATTGTCCTTTACACTCTCTACAGCAGTACATCAGTCATTTGAATTGGTGCGTCGCTGATATACAAACACAGTGACCTCTATAACGATGAATACTATGCGGGAGAGATGGTGGACCTATCGTGAAACCGTAACGCCCCTTGCAAACGTCCATGTTCACGGCGCCTACATCCTTTCAACGAAATAACCTCACAAACTGCTGGCTATCGTGTGGAACAATGGTTTATTACGGGTAGAAATAGCATCGCTTAACAAGTCCCGTGGGATGGAAAATCAATTGCATAATAAAGTGAAAAGCGTTGTGGTGGACTCACCATAGACTTATGTGGAATAGCGGAGATGTTCGCGTGTTAAATGTATAAATCCATATATCCATTGGTTAGGCGTTTTGCAACACACCGTTTGATTACGTTTTGTAGCCCCTGGCTAACAAGTCATAAAATGAAATGTAAGTGAGACAATGCATCGTCAACACGTTTTCTAAATATCGCCAGATTGGGAGCAGAGACGACATAATTAGGGAGGGCGTTCCAAGGCTGGCACACGCGGATGGAAAAGAAATTTCTACGGCATTCAAGCCGGCTATACTGAATTGTCAGTTTCAGAGAGTGATCTCTTAGTTTAGTGTTGTGGTTCAATTCAGCAGCGGACGGCAAATGTGGTTTGGGTTCTTCAGAATCTGGTAAACCATTATGTGATCCCCCCGCAAAAGCCGATATCGACTGCTGTAGATTCTTCGAGATTTCAGTCTAAGCTGATAGGGGCGATGAAAGAGGCCCCTGACGTTTTTGGTTGCCCTTCGTTGAGGAGCCTCGAGAACAACGAGATCCTGTTTCTGCCACGGATGCCACGCCTGAATAGCATATTCCACGTGAGGTCGCACGTAGGCGTTAAGCATTTGGGGAAATATTGAGGGTTCAAAC